TCATTTCACTCCTGCACCATGTTCCTGCCACACCTGACTGGTTCCTCTAATTCCCCAAACTTCTGCCTGCCTCCAGTCTACGCCCTCGCTATTCTCTCTTCCCGGAATACTCTGTACTCAACTTTTCTCATGACTGTCTCCTTCTCATCGTTCAGGTTCAGCTTACATATTCCCTCAGAGGCCATGGTACTATTTAATTTTCTTTATAACACAAAATAACTTATTTTACCTGTTCACTTATTTATTTTCTTGTTATTTCCTTCCCCCTAGACGCCCCCTTTAAAATATAGGTCCCATGAGGTTAAGGCAGAGGTTGGCAAATCTGGCCTGCCACCTGTTTTTGTGTGGCCTACAAACCAAGAATGATCTTTACATTATCAAATGGTTAAAAAAAAAAAAACAAAAGAAGAATAATATTTTGTAGCATGTGAAAGTTTTATGAAATTCAAATTTTAGTGTCCATCAATAAAGTTTTATTGGAACACAGTGGTGCTCGCTCATTTACGTATTGTTTACGGCTGCTTTCGCGCTGCAGTAGTGGAGGTGGTGAGCAGTTGCAGCAAACACCATATGTGTTGCTCTCATCACTTTGCATGCCTGCTTGGCACACCACAAAGCACAGTGACACGGTTATAATCCAACAGCATTTCAAGTGCCACAAGTGCTAACATACTGCGATTTTTTTTATTGCCAGTGTATACCCATCATGTCAAAAAAAGAAAAGAAAAGGAAAGTGGCTGTCAGATGTCACCCTTGTAAGGCACAGTGGAGTGTGGATTATTTTTCTATTGAATTGGATGGCAAAGCATCATGTTTATTATGCAATCACACTGTACCTATGCTAAAAGAATGCAATATATACCAAAATTACCAGGCTAAGTACCCATCACAGTATTCCCAACTCACAGGAAAGCAACAGTAAGAAAAAACTACAAAGCTTAAAATGTAATATCTCATTACAGCAGAATTTTATTACAAAGATAAAAATGAGTCTGCACGGTATCACCCTGATACCAAAACCAAAGACAGTACAAAGAAAGGAAGTTTGGTAGACTGAAAAACGGTTCCTCAAGATGTCCACCTCTTAATCCTTGAAACCTGTGAATTTATTACTTTATGTGGCAAAAGGGACTTTGTAAATGTGATGAAATAAGGATCTTGAGTGGGGAGATTATGCTGGGTTATCTGTTTGGGCCTGATGCCTTTTAAGAAGGAGGCAAAAGGAGTCAGAGCGCAATACTACCACAGAAGCAGAGGGACAGAGAAATTTGAAGACGCTATCTCAATAGTTTTAAGTATGGAGGAAGAAGACCGCAAACCAAAGAATGCAGCCAGCCTCTGGAGACCAGAAAAGGCAAGGTAATGGATTCTGCCCTGGAGAAAGGCAAATGGATTCTTCCTGGGAAATGAGTTCTCGAGAAAGAACCAGCATTGTTGACGCCTTGACTTTAGCCTAGTAAAACTAATTTTGCACCTCCAGGACTGTAAGAGAATAAATTTTTGTGGTTTTAATCTAAGTTTGTGGTAACTTGTGATTGCAGCAATAGAAAACTAATAAAATTTGCTAAAATTCTCTTTAGAATTTTTATATCTATGTTTGTGAGGGATATTTGTCAGAAGATACAAGACTAAGGCTGTTTCCGTATTCAAGAATAAGTTAATGTAAGCCACCATTTTAAGAGGCTAAAGAAGAAATATCATACGATCATAAAACTTTAGAAAAAGCGTTTTAAAAAAAATCAACACCCATGCATTAAAAAAGCTCAGAAAACTAAGAACTTCCTGAATTTGATAGGAACATCTACAAAAAGACTATAGTTAACATACGTAATGATGGAAGATGGAATACTTCACCCTAAAGTCATGAACGAGGCAAGAATGTCCATCTCACCACTCTTACTCAACATAATATTGAAAATTCTAGCCGGCACAGTAAGGCAAGAAATGGGGACCGGAGGCAGGCATACAGATTGAAAATGGAAAAGTAAAGCTCTCTCCAAAAAAAATAAATAAAATAAAACCTTCTAGAATTAATAAGTGACTTCAACAAGGTCTCAAGATACAAGATCAAGATATTAAAATCAGTTATAATTCTATACACTAGTAAATGAGTAATATGTGGAAACAAAAATTTAAAATACAATACACTTTACAATTTCTTGAAAGGGAAGGAAAGAAATATTTAGGTGTAAGTCTAACAAAGCATGTACAAGACTTGTAGACTGAAAACTACAAATGCTGATGAGAGAAATCAAGGAAGATTAAATAAAGGGGGAGATACACTGAGAGCATGGATTAGGATGCTCAACATAGCCAAGACCTCAATTGTCTCCAAATTGATATATAGGTTTAACACACTTCCTGCCAAAATCACACTGTTTTGAAGATGGAGACAAGATTCTTCTAAAATCTGTATGGAAAAGCAAAGGAAGAAAAATGGTTTTTAATTTTTTAAATGGAAGAAATCACTCTACCCGATTCCAAGACGTATTATATAGCTACACTAATGAAGGGTGTGTGGCGTTGGCAGAGGGATAGACACATAGACCAATGAAACAGAATAGAGAACAAAGAAATACACCCAAGAAAATATGCCCAACTGATTTTAAACAAAGGTTTGAAACAAGTTCAATGGAGGCAGTATAGCCTATCGGCAAATGGGGCAGAAGCAATTGGAAATCCCTAGGTTAAAAAAAAATCTTGACCTAAACGTCACATATTAGACACAAATTATCTCAAAATGGATCATACATTTAAATGTAAAATATAGAAGATAACATGAGACAAATTCTTCAGGATCCAAGACTTGGTGAAGAGTTTCTAGACATGACACCAAAAACATGATGCACCAAAGAAAAATTAGTAAATTTGACTTCATCAAAATTGAAAACTTTTGTTCAGGGAATAGACAAGCTACAAAATGGGAGAAAATATTTACAAACTATGTATCTGACAAAGGACTCATATCTAAAATAAGGAATTCTCAAAACTGAACAGTAACTCAGCAACAACAAAGCAACACTCTATGAGTAACACTCGTGTCCTGGGAAGTCACAAAGTAAATGCAGAGGCCGTGGAAGCTACAAGCGAAAGCTGGCATGATTACAGGTTTCAGAATATGGGGCAGAGGGAGGAGTGGGTTTCATTAACACTGGGCCTTACTCTCCTATTAAAAGTTTTTCCTGTAAAAATTACTCAGAATTATTCAGGATTCTGCCAGGTAGAGCAAATGATGCTGAGATTTAGATGGTCCAAAGTGAAAATTGCTATAGGAAATTTATAGTCACAATGAGAAAGCCTTTCTGAGTACCCTGAAATAATGAAACAGAGAGTGGGTACCAGAAAACATTTTGAGAGCTTCCTTTGTTGTCTGTGTCCAGAAGAGTTTGTGAAATCAGTGGACACGAGAGTTGACATTTTTAATTCCTACATTCCTGTGCATGTAACTCCCTTTGGTATTAATGCAAAACTTATGTGAGTGATTTAATATAACATAATAGAATAAAAATGAGTTTTTTCTTGCCTGTGTGGCAAGGTTTCATCCAATGGATGACTTTTTAAAAAGCCTTTTGGCTTATTTTTTATTCTTTAAATATACAAACGTATCCTTTGAGGGAGTGAGGAAGATTGGCCCTGAGCCAACATCTGGTGCCAATCTTACTCTTTTTGCTTGAGGAAGATTGTCGCTGAGCTAACATCTGTGCCACCCATAAACATATTTTATTTTTAGGTTTTTTTCTATTCGCTAGTCAATGGTGGACACTACAACCATTTCCTTTCCACAGTCCAATCCTCAATTTCTGTCTTTCTTCTTAAACAATACACTTGGTCCACAAAACCACAATCTTGACATCCACTCCTTCAAACACTTTTTGCCATTCAGTTTTCCTTTCTCCTAGGATATCACCTGTAAAAATAAGTTTAAAAGAAGGTCGTGCCCTCCTGCCTCTTGGACTCATGGTTTATAATAGAGAAAATGTCACTGTTTGTTAATGCTAATCCTGGCATGAGGGACCCAGGACCATTAGTAGAGAGCTATTAAGACTTCCCTTGGCTTGTGCCGAACCCCACTCCAGAAGCTGGAGACTTACCTTTTACTTACCTGAACCTCCTTAAAGCACTCTCAGCATATTTTGGGAAGAGATTTAATAAAGAGAGAATAAAAGTAAAAATATAAATGAAATTTGCGTTTTCCTACAACGTCTAATCTCAGGTCACTACTATTCAACCTGAGGGTGCAGAAAATCTTCCTATTGTCTTGACATGTTTCTTTGGCTTAGGACCTAGTTCTTTTCTGGAGTTTAACCCCCACTATATGCTCCTTATCCTGGACAACTGTCAACATCCTTTGTCTCATCAGGTAATCCTCTCCATTCTTCCATAGTGCTCCAATTCTGACACGCTCCTCATTACTTCAGTGATGGAAGCGAGCCGGAAAAAGAAAAGCATATCCAAGCCATTTTTATTTTCCAGCTTTTCTTTTTCCTTTATATAAATTTTTGTTTTGAAATAGTTTAACATTCATAATAAGTTGCAAAAGTAGTATAGAGGGTTCTTGAGTAGCCTTCACCCAGATTCCCTGAATGATGACATCTTCCCTAACTGTAGTACATTGTCAAAATTAGGAAACTGACATTGGTACAATATTATTAGCTCAAAAAGAACATATATGGATTTCACAAGTTTTTACATTCATTTTGGGGGGTAGAGTTTTTGAAATTTTATCACACGTGTAAATTATATAACCATCACAGAGCTGTTCCATCAACACAAAGAATATTCCTCATATTGCCTCTTAGTGCTCACATCCTCCTTCCATTCCTAACCCCGGGCTACCACTGGTCTGTTCTCCACCGCTATAATTTTATCACTTTGAGAATGTTATATAAATGCAATTATACAGCATATACCCTTTTGAGCTTGGCTGTTTTCACTCAGCAGAATGCCCTTGAGATCCATCTAAATTGTGTGTATCAGTAGTTCATTTCTTTTCGTTGCAGAATAACATCCCATTACATGGATGTACCACAGTTGGCTTATCCATCTACCCATCAGAGGACATAGGTAATTATATATCATGGGCTGTGGCCAATAGTTTGGCTGAATAGTCAGAGACTTGGAAGGAACATTGTTGGAAAATTGGTGACAAGGAAGTCTGGGGAAGAGATATGTAAGTAGACTTCACTGAATGGATGAAAAAGGTGAAGACTTTTGTGTCCCATGTGAATGCTCACCAAAGGATGACCTCAGCAGAGGAGGATTTTAATATTCAAGTGAATAGGACAAACTGTTCTGTGGATACCAGTCTGCCTCTTTCCCCAGCCACCCCTGCCATCTCCCAGATGGACAGAGTGGCTATGGTGGCAGGGATGGAGGTTACGCATGGACTTCCGCTGACCAAGGCCGACCTGGCTACAGCCACTGTTGGGTTCCCAATTGCCAGAAGCAGAGAACAACACTGAGTCCCTGATATGAAAAATTTTTCCAGGGGTGATCAGCCAGCTACCTGGTGGCAGGTTGATTACATTGGACTGTTACCATCATGGAAGGGGCAGCATTTTATTCTTAGTAGAATAGACACAGATTTGCCTTTCCTGCACACAATGCTTCAGCCAAAACTACCATCTGTGAACTTACAGAATGCTTTATCTACCATCGTGGTACTTCACACAGCATTGCTTCTGATCAAGGAACTCACTTCACAACAAATGAAGTGGGTCAGTGGGCCCATGCTCATGGAATTCGCTGGTCTTATCATGTTCCCCACCATCCTGAAGCAGCTAGTTAGATAGAACAGTGGAATGGCCTTTTGAGAACTCAGTTACAGTGCCAGCTAGGTGGCAGTACCTTGCAACACTGAAGCAAGGTTCTCAAGGAGGCTGTATATGCTTTGAATTAGCATCCAATATATGGTGCTGTTTTTCCCACAGCCAGGATACATGGGTCCAGGAATCAAGGAGTGGAAATGGGAGTGGCACTACTCACTATTACTCCTAGTGACCCACTAAAGAAATGTTTTCTTTCTGTCCCTGTGACCTTGTACTCTGCTGGCCTAGAGGTCTTAGCATCAAAGAAAGGAATGCTTCCAATAGGAGACACAACAATGATTCCACTGAATTGGAAGTTAAGACAACCACTCAGCCACTTTGGGCTCTGCATGCCTCTGAATCAACAGGCCAAGGAGGCAGTTTCTGTGCTGTTGGGGTGACTAATTTTGACCACTAAGGGGCAATTGGACTTCTACTCCACAATGGAGTATGTCTGGAATACAGGAGATCCCTTAAACCATCTCTTAGTATTTAATTTAATACCATGGCCTATGATTAAAGTCAATGGGAAGTCAATGGAAAACCCAACCTAGGCAGGACTACAGACAGCCCAGACCCTTCAGGAATGAAGGTTTGGGTCACCCCACCAGGTGAAGAACTTCAACCAGCTGAGGTGCTTGCTGAGGGCAAAAGGGAATACAGAATGGGTAGTGGAAGAGGGGAGTTAAATACCAGCTACAACCACACAACTGTTTACAGAAGTGAGGACTATAATTATCATGAGTATTTCCTCCTTACTTCATTATGAATGTGTGTGTGTGTGAAGTTAACAAGGAGTGAACTTGTGGTAGTTAATTTTAGGTGTCAAGTTGGCTCATCCACGGTGCCAGATATATGGCACCATACGCCAAATATTCTGAATTTTCTATGAGAGTGGTTTTGGATGAAATTGACATTTAAATCAGTGGACTTTGAGTAAAGCAAATTGCCCTCCATAATGTGGGTGGGCCTCATCCAATCAGTTGAAGGCCTGAATAGCCAAAGCACTGACCTCCCCTAAGGAAGAGGGAATTCTGCCAGCAGACAGCCTGTGGACTTGAACTGCAATATTGGCTCTTCCTGGTTCTCCAGTCTGCTGGCCCACCTTGCAGATTTTAGACTAGCCAGCCTCCATAATTGCGTGATCCAATTCCTTAAAACAAATTGTGTGCGTGTGTGTGTGTGTATATACATATCCTATTGGTTTTGTTTCTCTGGAGAACCCTGGCTAATACACCAGCTTTTGACTATCGCATATAAAGTTACCATGAACGTTCACGTATAGTTTTTGTACAGAGAGAAGTTTTCATTACTCTAGAATAAATACCCATGAGTGTGATTTCATGGTCGTGCAGTATGTGTGTGTTTAACTTGGTAAGAAACTGCAAAAAAGGTTTTCTAGAGTGGCTATCCCATTTTACACTCCCTCCAACAAAGTCAAATCTTTGTCTTGAGGTCCGCTTCTGCAAGAACCCAAGAGAGCATATCAGAAATGGTCCTAGGAAGCACATTTTCAGCATGGGGTTCCGGATTTGCATCATTCACTATCCAAGTGACAGTGAAGACCCCATTACTGGTGATCACTGGGGATGATAACCCCCACATGCTGTAGTATCACAATTACTATGACTTACCTGTGGTCAGTTGGGAGGCCGTATGAGTGGGAAAGGATGCCCTTGTGCAATATGTCTAGTATTTGAAAGATATGGGAGCAAAAATAATTATAAAAACTCTGGAATTGGGTGGCTACTATTAAGTGGTACTGGTATGTTGAAGGAAGAAAATGCCAGTGTCAGGTCAGTCAATTATCAGCTTAAGACATAGTATAAAAGCCAGAAATTTTATTTGGCAGCACTTAAGGAGATTTCAATCTCCTGCAACCACAGGCCATGATGGGACTAAAAATTAGGCCCAGGATCTGTTTGTAACAATAGTAAATTTACCAAGAAAAAAGAAAAAAGGTGCATGTGTGAATACATAGTCCCAGCAAGTCAAATCGCATTTACTCTGATGTCCCGGTAATTCTCCTACACACAGTCAGGGTCCTGAAAGGGAAAGAGAGGGATGCTGAGAACTCGCCTGGGACATCAGAGAAAATGCAATTGGGAATTTCAAAAATTTATTTTTGTTGAGATATAATTGACATGTAACTTTATGTAAGTTTAAGGTGTACAACTTGTTGATTTAATACATTTATATATTGCAATATGATTACCACCATACTGTTAGCTAACGTCTCTACCACGTCACATAATTACCTTTTTTTTCCAGTGGGAGCAATTAAGATCTAGTCTCTTAGCATCTTTGAAGTTTATAACACAGTATTGCTGTCTATAATCACTAGGCTGTGCATTGGACCTCTAGGACTTATTTATCTACTAGTTCCAAGTTTGTACCCTTAACATATCCCCAATTCCTCTACCACCGCCACACCTGTCTCTGGTAAACACCATTCTACTCTCTGTTTTTATGAGTTCAGTTTTTTTAGATTCCACATATAAGTGATATTATACAGTATTTGTCTTTCTCTGTCTTAGCATAATGCCCTCAAGAATCATCCATGTTGTCACAAATGGCAAGATTTCCTTCTTTCTCATGGCTGAATAATATTCCATTGTACATATATATATATACCACATGTTCTTTATCCACTTAGCCATTGATAGACACTTAGGTTGTTTCCATATCTTGGCTATTGTGAATAATGCTGCAATAAACATGGGAGTGCAGATAGCTGTTTTCATTTCCTTTGAATATATACCCAGAAGTGGGATTGCTGGACCATATGGTATTTCTATTTTTAATTTTTGGTGGAACCTCCATACTGTTTTCCAAGTGGGTAAACCAATTTAGATTCCTACCAACAGTGTATAAGGATCCCTTATCTCCACATCCTCACAACACTTGTTATCTCTTATCTTCTTGATGATAGCCATTCTAACAGGTGTAAGTTGATAGCTCATTGTAGTTTTGATTTGCATTTCCATGATGATTAGCGATGTTGAGCATCTTTTCATGTAACTCTTGACCATTTGGATGTCTTCTTTGGAAAAACGTCTATTCAGGTCCTCTGCTCATTTTTAGTCATATTGCTTGTGTTTTTTTGTTACTGAGTTGTATGAGTTCTTTATATATTTTTTATATTAACCCCTTATCTGATTATACCAGTTTGCAAATATTTTCTCCACTTCCGTATGTCGCCTTTTCATTTTGTTGACTGTTTCTTTCGCTGTGCTTGGTGTTTTTAGTTTGATGTAGTTCCACTTGTTGATTTTCGCTTTTGTTACTTGTGCTTTTTTTATTTCATATCCAAAAAAAATCATTACCCAGACCAATGTCAAGGCACTTCTTCTCTATGTTTCTTCTAGGAGTTGTATGGTATCAGGTCTTATGTTTAAGTCTGTAATGCATTTTGAGTTCAATTTTGTGAGTGTTGTAAGACACAGGTCCAATTTCATTTTTCTGCATGTGGTTATCCAGTTTCCCCAACACCGTTTACTGAAGAGACTATTAAGTGTTCTTGGCTCCTTTGTCAGTTATTAGTTGACTATATACGCTGGGGTTTATTTCTGGGCTCTCTATTCTATTCCTTTGGCCTATGTGTCTGTTTTTATGCCAGTGCCAACTGTTTTCATTTTTATAGCTTTGTAGTACAGTTTGAAATAAGGAAGTGTGATGCCCCCAGATTTGTTCTTTCTCAGGATTGCTTTGACCATTTGAGGTCTTCTGAGGTTCCATAAAAATTTTAGGTTATTTTTCTATTTCTGTGAAAAATTATAATTTTGATAGGGATTGTGTTGAATCTATAGAAGGCTTTGGGTAGTATGGAGATTTTTAACACTATTAATTCTTCTGATCCCTGAACACAGGATGTCTTTACATTTGTTTGTGTCTTCAATTTCTTTCATCAAGGTCTTGTAGTTTTCATTGTATAGATTTTTCACTTCCTACTTTAAATATATTCCTAAGACTTTTGTTTATGATGCTATTGTGAATGGGATATTTTTCTTTATTTCTTTTTCGGATGTTTCATGGTTAGCGTATAGAAATGCAACTGACTTCTGTATGTTTACTTTACATCCTCTAACTTTACTGAATTCGTCTATTAGTTCCAACAATTTTTGGTTGAATCTTTAGGATTTTCTATATATAGGATCATATCATCTGCAAATAATGATAATTTTACTTCTTCCTTTCTGACTTAAAGGCCTTTTATTTCTTTGTCTTGCCTATTTTCTCTAGCTATTTAGGACTTCCAGTAATACGTTGAATAAGAGAGGTGAGGGCAGACACCTTTGTCTTGTTTCTGATCTTAGAGGAAAAGCTTTCAATTTTTCGAATGTAGTATTAACTGTGGGTTTGTTGTATGTGGCCTTTATTATGTTGCTATATGTTTCTTCTATCCCCTATTTGTTGAGGGTTTTAATAATGAAAGGATGTTGTATTTTGTCAAATGCTTTTTCTGCGTCTATTGAGATAATCAGATGATTTTTATCTTTTGTTCTGTTAATATGGTGTTTCACATTTGTTGATTTGCATATATTGAACCATCCTTGCATCCCAGGGATAAATCCCTCTTGGTTACAGTGTGTGATCCTTTTAATGTGTTGTTGAATTCACTTTGCTACTATTTTGTTGAGAATATTTGCATCTGTATTCATCAGGGATATTTATCTGAAGTTTTCTTTTATTGTAGTATCTTTATCTGGCTTTGGTATCAGGGTAATTGTGACTGTAATTGAGAAGTGTGAACCCTCAGGTTCCTCTGAACCCTCTGGGCTGGCAAAAAACCCACTCCTCCGTTGCTGGAGGATAGTGGTCCTCCTGTGCCTAGAGACCAGGCATACTTCACCTGAGACAAGTGCCTCTCAAGATGATACTTGCCTTCCTCAAAAATCTTTCCCCATCCCCCACCATTGCTTTTAGATTGATACTTAGAGTCAAGTTATAGCATAGCTCAACCATGGAAGAACTGCCCAGGCTTCAGAAGTAAAGAGTATTTCACAGAAGAGCTACAGAATCTAACTAAAATAATATCAACAAGAACTGGAAGAACATGCCTGGAAATGGATCTTGAGAGTGCTGAAAAGAATATAAGGCTGTATATGCAAGAGTATGTTGATATGGGACATTCCCTGTGACTCATACTTTAACATCCTGCCAAAGACACCTGAGATTGATCTTAATATATTACTGGAATGAGGGGCTGGCCCCGTGGCCGAGCGGTTAAGTTCGCGCGCTCCGCTGCACGCGGCCCAGTGTTTCGTTGGTTCGAATCCTGGGCGCGGACATGACACTGCTCATCAAACCACGCTGAGGCAGCGTCCCACATGCCACAACTAGAAGGACCCACAACAAAGAATATACAACTATGTACTGGGGGGCTGTGGGGAGAAAAAGGAAAAAATAAAATCTTAAAAAAAAAAAAAAAAAAATATATTACTGGAATGAATACTTGAAGCTTGGAAAATAATCATAGTTTATTGCAAAATAGGTGAAGTTGCCACAATTACCCTAGCAAAGTATTGAGGAAAAGGTCAAATGGTTCAAAGAGTGGGCACACTAAACTAGATTTATTATAAAAGACCGTAGAACTCACTGGCTGACTATATTGTCCAGGAGGGTGTAGAGGACACTCCTTTTACTAGAATAATAAGAATTCTTTAGTGAGGAGGTCACTGGAAGTGTTAAGAAGCTCAATGGTGACTGTCTCTTGTAGGCTGGGGTTGCTGCTATGGAAATGGGGTCCCTAGTGACAATTAAGATGAAAGGATCCTGAAACATCAGAAGCCAAGTGACAGCATGCAAGACAGTTAGAGGCAAGGTGGACATAATTGCCATAATGCAAAGCCAGAATGGCAACTGGGGGCCCCAACCCTCCGGCATATGTAGTGAAGGCTAACAGATCACAGTGTTCTTAGGGATGAAATAGAGGGATGGGTAGCCAATCTTGATGTGTA